TGTTCATAGGCCCAGCTCTGAAAAGTGGTTTGTACATTCAAACAAGCACCTAACCTCATCACCAAAACTGAAGCCAGAGGCTGCATCGCAGTTTGGTGGTGGGGGTGACTTACAGCTCTCCCTCTACCCTGTCTTCCACCCCTCCCTGAAGGCTGGCCACCTGCCTTTCCACCACGCTTCATGGTGTGTTTCATGTCTTCCTTTTTTACAAATATATAAATGTATTTGCATTCCTATATAAATTCAAAAGCGTAGGTGTAGTGCAGTGAAGAAATGTATGAAACCAATAGAAATATATCTATCTTCCTATATAAATTCTATAATGTATGGTATGCTGCAAAGCTTTAAATGTATAGAAATAAAACAGAAATGTATTTCCCTTCCTATATAAATTAAATTCCTTAGTAATCCTATGCAATTTAAGTATAAAGTTCAAAAGAAATCAATGAATATAATAATAAAATTAAAGCACCTAGAAGAAAAAGGTATTCTGAAATCCCTTTTGCTAGGGTAGCAAGCAGGGAATCCTTTAGAAAATCAGTGCTGCTAACTGTAGTGGTCTGATGGTGAGCTGCTAGAACACAGCTCAGTTAGTGACCCCAAGACAGAAAGCAGGGCAGTTCAAAAAATGCTGGCTTTTATGCAGTTTTTTCATCCCTCTCCCAGAGTTCTGGGGTTGGAAGGGACCTCAGGGAAGGGTGACAGTCGCTGGCTAGCTACAGTCAATAATAAGAGCACCCCTTCTCCTCCTCCCTCTTACTTTCTCTTTCCCCGCAGGCAAGGCATTGAAGGCAAGCCCCAGCTACACAGTTGAGACTCAAAACGTTCAGAATTTTTCAAAGCATTTCAACCTGCCCTGTTTTGCTTTGATGCTGTTTCGAGGCTCTCTGTTTTGTTTTGACTTCGCTGTTTCAAGGTTGAAACAGCATCAGAACAAAACAGGCAGCGAAATTTCGCACAACCCTAAGAGATTCCCTCCACTCAGGGTCATACTAATGATATTGCATCTGGGGTCAGGAAGGAATGTTACCCCATGATTAGATTGTTATGAACTATGGGGGTTTATGCCTTTCTTTGTAACAGGGAGCATAGCCCTCTTCCTTGGATCTCTCAAGTACATTTTAACAACCCTTGCAAGACACTGGTTGCAGTTGTCCCTCCTGCTTTATCCATGGCAAACTAGGGCACTATGCACATTATGATGTGACAGGGTTGACTGTAGATTTAGCAATAGATTAGATAAGGATTTTTATGGGATGGTTTGGATAGGGATGATACTGCCTCAGACAGAGGGTTGAACTAGATGACTCTAGAGATTTCCTTCCAGCCATACTTTCTATGATTCACATGACCAAACTGGTGACAGGAATACAGTTGTTACTTATTAAACTATGTAGTGTGATTCTTTTATATTGACTTCTTTTGCCCTCCTCTTTTTGCAGGTTGATCTACCAAAAGAAACTATAATGCACTTCCTCTCGCTAGAAGTAAGTCCAAAGTAACTGTATAACTTCATAGATTTTTAAAAGTTAATGGGATGAATTCCCGTGCAAATTGAAGTTAATTTTAAAAGTAATCAGAATTTTCCTTTTAAAGAGTTTGAGGTAGGCATTAAAAACATCTCTGGCTGCTTATGACTGTCCCAAACAGTGGCCAGTTAAAATTAACCACAGTTCCAGTCAGTTTGCCAGTTGCTGTCAGTGCCCCCCAGTGGTGTAGAATGCTTTTCACTCTACTACAGAAGGGAATGCAATTCAATAAAGGCATGTGCTTGAGTTAGAGGGAGATGGACCTAAAAGACTGACACTGAGGATAGATTATGTCACTGTGCACCACCTCCAACTCAATCTCTGGAGTATAGGGTGCATAAAAAGCAGTTTCTTCTTCCTTCAGTTGAAGGTGGCTTCATATTCAGCAGGTACTACCTACCATACAGAGGTTAATTTGAAAGGTAAACCTATTGTAGTCTTGCATCCTTTTAATTTTTCATAACTATCAATAGTGAGGTTAGTCTTGTGACAGTGAAATACTGGGTACACTTGTCAAACTAGGGATTCTAAAGATGTATGAATGGCAGATGATTTGTTTAATGAAGGGGTTCTGTGCCTTTAGCAAGTCTGAAAACCACTGGACTACAGAAATGCAAATTACTTTTGTAATTTGCATGTTGTGGGACCAAAAAAATTGAATGGAAAGATCAGTGTATGGTGCACAATATAAAGTGTTGTTAATGATATTCATGAACAGTAAATCAGCCACATAAAAGTGTTTAATACAAGTGGCCAACCTGTGGGAGGTCGGGGAGGTGGTAGGCAGCAGAATAGCAGAAGGGGATTTGAGTGGCACTTCAGAGAGCATACAGGGCTAGCTTGTGGCACACCTGCTAAAAAGTTGGCTCCCACTGATATTATGTGGGACCTAAATGTTGGAAATTGAAAATGGAAGGAGCCAAAGAAAACTAAGGCTCATGTAGCAGATAGTACCTAAAAGCAATTTAAGTGTGTACAGGATTGCATTAGTTGCCCTCTCCAAAGAGGAGATATGGAACACTTGAGCCTTCCCAACATGATGCTGTTCAGACTGAAGGAGAGAACTACTCACCAGGACCCTCCTTCTAAACACTGCTGCTGATAGAACAGCATTTATGGTTTGGATCTATCTATTTTTTACAAGAAGCTGGATTTGTGGTAGGCCAAGTAGGAAGGTATTAATATTCTATTTATATCAGAAGAATGAACTGTCCTAGATGCAGTATTTTTTTTGCAGTAAAGTATAATACTGTATGAAAATGCCTCTTGTTACTTCTGCCTCCTGTATCATAGTGTGATGGAGACGAACAATCATTTTATGCAACTGTGAAACAACTGATGTCACGATTACCAAAGCAGAAATACCTACAAGCAGTTTGTGATGAAATTTACAATATCAAAGTAGAGAAGAGGTAAACTGTTGGTGCTCTAAGAAGTTGAGCTGCTTAATGCATCTGAATTTTAGTGAACAGAGTTCCCTCTTCTTTCTCCAAAAGAAAATAAATCCTGTTGAAAAATCTCTTATTTTTTGCATTAGTCTTGGGCTATAGGTACCCATTAAGCCAGCCCAGTTAAGGCAAGCCAGTTTCTACAGCCATTGTCACACACAGAAGTGATATTGCTAGAACTGCAGCCAGCCACCTTTTGACTCTTCCTACCCCAAATAACCAGATAGCCATGTAGAATGGGTCAGCTGGGGGTACATGAATACAGAATCTGGAACTGGAATAAGACTTAAATTGATGTCCCATCTCCCCTATTCCAACTATACAGTTCTCTCTGCCTTACAGAAGGCTCCCTGGGGTAACACTGCATACCTGCTATGAGGTAGACGAATAAAACCTTGGGCCACTGGAAATCAGTCCACACATACCAAGTATGTCGTGGACTTGCCTTTCTCCTGTTTCCAAAAACAGCTTTTTTAGAAGTTTTGGCATGACTGCTATATTATCTACTGTTTTGAAGTCTAACATTCTTTCTTTTCCTCTGCAGAGTTCCTGTGCTTATCCTGTACAGTTATCGAGATGATTACTACAAAGTTCTATTTTAGTTCTTAAAAAAACCCTGTTACTGGGGTGTTTCAGTTGCAGCACTTGACTTTTTCTAAAGCTCCATGTCCTGAACAAAAAACGTTCGATCAACTCTGCCACTGTTTTGCATCTATTTCAAGAAGCTGTGATAAAAACAAGGCAGGGTAAATACTGTTTATTTTTTTAGTGTAAAGTGTTTAAGGTTTTGTATGCAATATGTAACTGTAACATACATCGTCTAAACAAATTCAAAATAAATGTTTTATAATCATACACTAGCCATGCATTATATTTTAACTGGACTCCATGATAGTATGTTTGCTCAGTAGCAGCCACACTGATACAGCAAGTGTACTGTGCCTGACAAAAGTACCCTCAAATGCCACATGCCTCTGGAAAGGGAGAGCTATGCAAGTCACACTTATATTCTGCTCTCGGAGGATTAATTAACAAGGCAGTGCCACGCAGCAATAGCAATTAGAGTGCCTGGCACATGTGACCCTATTACTTCTGATGCAAGAAGCAGCCTGTGGGAGGCAGCACATACACGGGACCCTATTACTTCTGATCCAAGAAGCAGCCTGTGGGAGGCAGCACATATACTGCTCCCCAGTGGAAATGTGTGATGCTGATGCACTTTGAGCCTGAAGGCTGATTCTGGGAAAGGAATTTTTCCCAGGTGAAAACTCTAAGACACATTACTTGAAATTTAAATAAGCACTGAAGCCTCTTGAAAGAATATGACTATACCTATATTTCAGAAGCAAGTTGAGGTAATTCTTGTGATCCTCTAAAACTGAACATTGTTACCTACAGACAGGAATGTGATTGGCAAGCTAAAAGTCTTTCAGTTCACAAGCTCTTACTGAATTTCACTTAACTGTTATTAAAGTTCTAGAATAGTGAGAAGACACTGCACTTTCCTTATTAATTTTTTTTGTATTTGTACTGTATTTATTGAGTTCTAACAAGGTGTCCCATCCCCCTGCAATTTAACATGGAGGAAAAAAACCCTTGTCATAACCATTAGGACTGTGTGAAGCTTCAGTAGCTGGTTTGATTTGGCAGAGATGCAGCAGCTGAATCTCTAAATTTAAGTTGGAAGACTTATTAAGAGGTCTGAATAGAATCAGAAGCTTCTGAATTGATTTAGAGAGATTCAGGGCTGATTTGGCTGTAGGTTATACAGGTTTCCCCTCACATAAAGTGAACCCACTTTATAATGTAACAAATAGGTTCCCAAGATGGTGAAGGAAGGAGGGAGGCTGGGACTAGGGAACAGGTGAGGGTGCTCTGCCTGTGCCCTTCCACCCACCTGAGCTCTCTGCCTGCCCCCACTCACCCCATGCTGTGGTGCAGGCAGTTGGTGTTGACTCAATGGCTTTAGGTGTCAAGTAGCCTTAATCCTAGATATTCGTATCATACTTCCACAACTGCCTTAAGAAGATCCTTGAGACTCAAGAGTAACTAGTTCTTCTACTTCCACATTGTTTATCTAGTCAGAAGTAAACTAACCTAGATCAATTATATATCTAAAAGTTCTTCCATATACTGAATTAGTAGGGGTTTTTGGTTTTGTTTTTTAAGTATATTACCTTTTATTTAGTTAAATTAGTTTTGTTCCTGTATAGATGCTTTTAGTAACCAAACTTTTCAGTACTGCAGTTTTCCTTTACAATAAAACTTAGATACCCCATTTCTTATAGCGTAATCCCAAATGAAGTGGAGAGGAATCACTTACCTCTTTATGAAGGAGGAGAGACCTAATCAGTTCAGGGCATTTCAAGGCAAAACTGCATGGAGGTGGGCTTGGTTCTTACCCCTAGGGCCTGCAGATGGTGTCAGAACTATTTGAATCCCAAGTACACATAGATCAATTAATCCCTAGTTGTTTACTGGGGAACGTTATTAAGAGTTATTTTATTCAAATCAATTTCTTATTTTGTTTAAATGAAACAATTAAGTGTAACCATTTTGTATCTACTCCTAGCAAGGAGCTACCACAATAGTTATCGGTTAACCATTTATCCAAGAATCAAATCTTTGTATACATCTTAAGGATGATGCTTTTTACTAAGCCAATGCAATTACAGCATGAAGCTCTAGTCTAAAGCATACTTAAAAAAAAGGCAATTACTACTATTGACCTGTGCTCACAGCTAGAAACAGTGAAGGAGAGGGGAAAAATAAAAATGTCAGTGTTCCTAAGGTTACTTAGTATCCACTTTCCCAGTAGTTCATACTAGGCTTTCAGTCACAGAGACTCAAGATCCTGTCCTGGCGTTTCCTTGTGACCAGGCCTCTCTCCTTCTCTGCTGCCTCCCTCCCATCTCAAGTTAAAATACAAAATAGAACAGCAATACAAGTACAAAACTAGTTGGCAGCTGAGTGAAACTATTTCAGTATAACACAGTAAATACTCCCACTATACAGGAATCCACAGAAAGCACTCTTTGCCTCCAGTTTAGAAGACTATTGGTCACATCCCAGTATTCTGCTGGATGTAAAGCCAAAGGTAACTCAAGAAATGGACTTTACTGAAGGCAAGTATCTGAATGAATTGCATTGATGGGAGACGTTCCATTCCCTCACTGCGTTGCTTTACTTTTCTTGTTTTTGCTTTTCTTGTCTTTCTTCTTCAAGCCATCCATGTTGGCTCTTAGCAAGTTGGAATAGGCCTACAAAAAACAAAACAAGTTTAAGACTCTCCCAGGATGGATCAGAGAGAATTTTATTGGCTGTCCACGGATTGTTAATCCCTCCCCCCACACACACACAATAGAAGAGTAAAAGGGAAAGCAAAGGTATAGAACAGAGTTTCTCAACCAGCAGGTCGCAAAAATATATGAAACAAACAAACTTTAAAAACAGATTCTACTTTAAAAGGAGAAAAAGGAGGAAAGCTATGGCTTTTCCCTTGCAGGCTGGCAGAGTTCCAGCCTGTGAGAGGCTGCCTGGGGCCTCCCCATGCCCCACACACCCACCCCACATGGCGGGGCCTGGGAGCACTGGGTCAAGGCTGGCCACTGATGTTTACAAATGGGTCCTGGGACAAAAAGAAGGTTGAGAACCACTGCTATAAGAAATACAAGACCTCATTCCCCTACAGAAACTTACCATCTGGAATTTATTTACTTCCTTTGAGCTTACCTGTGAAAAGCAGAAAAGGAGGTTAAGCAGAAGAGACTCACCACCTTACCAACTACTGACTAGAATTCAGTAACCAGTTGTGCTCTCTCTTGCCATCTAATCCCCACCCAGCAACTGAAGCTGTCTGACCAATGGATCAGATTCAGTATTCAGTTACACAGATGTTACTACCAAGGGACACACATGAAAGAAAGGGATGGTGACGGATCTCATAAGTTGAAAAAAAAACACAACAACTTGTTCAAAATAAGCCATTTGTCAGAAGGCAGAGAGTCCAACTTCCATTTGAAAATAGTTGTTTTTTTTTTAAATGCAAGAAGCTATTCCACAGCATGTTCCAGATTAATTTCCGAACACAGTGCTTTTCTTCCTATCCATTCTCACCCAGATTCCACTGTCAAAAACACTTGAACAGGTTCGGATGCTTGGAGACAGCTCAAGTTACCTTTTAGTTGCCCTGAAAACTGCCTGGCTCCAATACCTGGCAGAATTTTAAGTACCACTTGTGAAAAAAAGCTAAAGTTTTGAGAACTACAACTGACAATCAGCCTAACCAATGCAAGTAGTTATTCAGGGTTTCAGTAGAGTTGCACATTATTTCTTTAGCCCAACTTTGCTGCTTACCACAGTGCTAATCTTCTTTTTCCCATCTGTTGCCCTCAGAAGACACTTGTTGTCCGCTGGCTCAAATCCTTCTATGTGGCCCTTCCGTGGGATTGGTTTTGTTCGACCATCATCTGTTATTAAAAACCAAACCAGGTTTCTCTTTTGCTTTCAGCCGCTTACCTAATTGTCACCAGAACTAGAAAGTTCATCCAACAATATCAGGCCAGCAAGAAGATGTGAGCTTCCATCCTACAGCTGGAAGTCAGCATTTTTCCCCAGCAGCCTTGAACCCTAGACACCAGGCAACAGACTCTTCCAGCTACAAAACCGCTGGACAGTTACAGACCCCAAGGCCTTGTGCAGCAGAGGCCATCTGCCACACAAGGCAGTGACAGCAACCACTGACCAGCCAGTCTTTTCTTCCTGCAATTTCTAGGTCTATAGCAACCATTTTAAGAATTGAGAGAGAAAAAAAAGCAACCCATCTGAAGCATTTCACCCAGCATGCCAGGGATCCCAAAGCAAAATGGACTGAGGCTGGTGAAAAGCAAGCAGGAGGTCTTTCTGTTCTTATCTGGACCATAGGTACTCAGCCTTGCGGGCTGCACGAACGGCCCCAGCCCGGCCCTGCCCAGCGCGCGGGCTCCGCCACCCGGCCCGGAGGGGCGCCCACAGCAGTGGCAATGAGCGCTGCAGCCGCTCCGCGCTGCCCCAGAGCCGGAGCCTGAGCCGGGCGCCCCGCGGGCGGGATGACGTGGCCGCGCTTGGCAGTACACGCGGCAGCGGCGCCCGCTTCTGAGCCCGGAACACTGCCTATAAAGCAGGTCTGGTGCCGCGCGGCTGGGAAAGACCCCAGCTGGCCTCCCCGAGGGGCACTCACATTTTTTGAGGGTGATGAAGACGCTGCCCGACGTGCGGCACTTCTGGAACAGCCTCGTCAGCTCCGTCAGAAACTGCGGAGACACAGACACGGCGCAGCGTTAGCGGGGAGAGGGAAGGGAGAGGCCGGTCCGGCAGCCACGCGAGCTCGACCGGTAACGGGGCCCCGCGACGCGACGCGACCCAACCCACACCTGCTCGCTCTCCAGCAGCACCATGTCGCTACCACCCCCACCCGGCGCAGCCAGCGGCCCGGAAATGGCGCCGGAACCGGAAGCGCGGCCGGGGGGGGTCGGTTGCTCCGGTAGGCTCATGCACCCTGCGCCCCCGCCCATCCACCGCGCGCGTCAGGGTTGTATTAAGCTTCCCCCAGGGGCCTGTGCCCGCTGCATCTCCGGCCGTGCCTGTTACTCCTGCCGGCCCCGGCCGAGGGGTCTGGCGCGCGCTGCGCTCGAGACTAAACCAGCGGCCGTGTTTGGGGTGAGGGAGGCATTTCCCCTCGTGGCGGGTGGGTCTGGGCTCCCGGGACCTTCGGGAACAAGCTGTGCAGCCGCCGTTTTACCTAGAGGGCAGATGACGGGTTTGTGGGGGACGGTTTGGAGAGGGATGATCCTGCCTCAGGCAGGGGCTGAGGGCGACCACCTCTTCCGAACTGGAAGGCAGGACACGTGCCTGCCCCGCCCCGCCCCAAGCAGAGCCGGTGAGGACGGGGGAGGATGCAAGCTGTCTGCTTGGCGGCTCCTTGCCCTAGCGCCCTGACCCCGGAGCCCTTGATAGCTGCGCTGCCATGGCGACGCACCCCTTGGCCACCCGGCATCAACAGGGCACACAACCCTGCTGTTGCTGCCATCCCTGCAGGAAGGGGGCGCCTCACCACGGGGGAGCAGCCAGCACAGAGCTGCTGGGCCCACCCGTACCCCTGTCCCCAGGAGTGCGTGCAGCAGTGGGGAGCTGCCTTCTCCCCACCACGAACTCCTGGACAAGTCACCTGTGACTCTGTCCCACTGTCCTGTGGCTGCACATTCCTGGCCCATGCACCGCCCTGGCTGGGTAGCGTCCCCAGGTGCCAACCCTGCATCACTTACTCCCTCACCATGGGGGCCTCAGTCTGCCTCCCCCTCTCCCCCCATTTACCCACAGGCAGCTGGGGAGCTGCTCTCTACTGTCTTGGGGCTGTATTGCCAGCCACATGCACGTGGCATACCCTGCGTCCCGCTCCCCTTAGCCCCTTACAGGCTGGGACTCTGCCTGCCTGCAAAAGGAAACCCTCCGTTTCCTGTGGTTTTTCCACACAAATGGAAAAATCCAGATCCCTGCACAGGATACTGGGAATCTAGGACAAATGCTGTCCTGAAGTCATGCTGCCCAGGACTGGATCCTGAAATTTAAAGTTGATCTTTAAATTTCAGGACTGTCCTGCCCAATAATTATGGATGGGTGGTCACCCTAACTAGATGACCTCTGGAGGTCCTGTCCAGCCTGACTGCTCTATGGTTCTGTGATCCCTATCCAAACCGTCCTACACAAATCCATTGTCTAACCTCCTAGCAAACTCCACAGCCTGACACTACACCAGACAATACCATAGGCTCTGACTTTTGCTGGGGAAGAGGCCTAAGATGATGGACATGTAAAAAAAAATTTACGCATTTCAGGTGACAGCCCTCTTCCTGAGCCAGGGCCCTTGGGCCCCCACATACTTGGTACCTCTGCATAACATAACAGCCTGCCCCAGGCAGTGTGGGGAGGGGGAGAGGGGACCATGACCAATGCCCTGCTGTAGAAACAGAATCTGAGGGTGGTGGACACCGAATGCAGCTGGTTGTTGGTTCAAAGAAGAAACTTGACTTTGACAAAAAGATCGAAGCCCGTGAGACTGGTGCCATGAGGGAAGCAGAGCATGGCAGGGCGTGGAGGAAGGGTACGTTCCATCCCAAACACGCTGAGTTTGTGACTTACAGTCAAAGTTCTGAGTGGGCACTTCCTGTCAGCCCCCCACAGGTTCAGCGCTGAGGGCAGGGCTTTTTGCAAGAATCAATACTTGTTCTACTGGATTCCTAATAAAGCAGTGAAGAATTTTGTCTTTTGTTCTTCCTGGATCTGGCAGACTGGGAAGGGAATGCATGAAGAAGGGAAGAGTAATGGCAATCCTCAATATTTTACCTTGACGGATATACCCTGGGCCTACAATGCCAACAAGGATGAAAAGTTGGTGTCACCACTCACATCAGTAATGGTAGGGCTGTAAGCAATTTTTAGAAGGGAAAGTTTGGTGTTCCTCAGAAGGATGGCTCAATAAATTGTGGAGGAGAATTGGTGGTCCCTTTTTATCATAGCCCCTAGTGGTGCATCTGCAGATTGCTGAAGTGGCAGTAGGGGGTGCTGTAATTACACAGACAAAATGAGGGACAGTCTGTGCCAGAAGTGCAAATGAAGAAATGAGGTCATTATAACTTTGGCAGTTCTCAACAAAATACCTCATTTTTATTTATTATTTTGTCATCAGAGCAGGTACTTTTCACAGACCTCTGATGCTGAAGGGTCCCCAGTCACTAATGTCTTTTCAAGTGCTGTATTATTTTTCAGGGAAAAAGGGTTACCAGACAATTGCTTACATTTGTTCTTGTAGTGTATACCATACAAAACCTTGGGGCTTGAAATGTGAGAGATTTGTTATTTTTCCAAGTCCTCTGAGAACTGATATTTTAATGGGACATCTTCAGTGGCAGTAACAGGAACAGCACAGTGGTAGCACCTGGAGACCTGGACCCTAGTGCAGTAAGAGATGATCTCTGCCCAAATGTATTAAGATTGAAGTATAAGAAAAGGAAGGAGCCCAAGATGATCACAAGATGAGTTTATGTGCCATCACAGCACACAAACTCCCTAACCATGGTTGGAGATTTGTGCAGAGAACACAGCAGAGGAAAATAGTAAAGGTGGGATTTGGAGGAGGACTATAAGCTCTCTGTAAACACCTGTAAAGTGATGCATAAGGTGTATCATGGGAGAAGGCACAGAAGTATCCATCTATAACTGTCCAAAGATGCATTCTATGTAGGTTGATGAAACAGAAGAATGGAAATGGAAAAACAACAATTGCACCACATACCTCAAACTAATCTTTGTTGTGACCCTTATTTTCACCATATACTTCTTACATGAACTTCAGCAAGTCCCTTAACTTTGATTATGCAATGGCAATAATTATCTCTCCCTTCTCCACAAAGTTGTTGCAAGCAAGGCTTGTATTCATATTTGTGAAATGTATCAATGGACATTGTAGAAGGGATTTTTTCCTTTGGCCCCCATGCTGCTAAACAACTTCTGGCAGCTACAGCAGCAGCTTTCTTTCAGTACTTTTATTTACTGCTGTCTCTTTTCTGAAACGTACTGCATTCAGAGGTATGATTGTGTCAGTGTAGTCATGCCCAAGCCAGTTCTAATCTGACTAGCCTGGGTACCAGTAAGCATTATGGACAGAGAAGCATGAGCTACACAAGCCTGCTTGGGATATTAAGTATGCATTTGTGGGGCCGGCTTGCGCTGAAGCCATGTTTTGTCTGGGTAGATTAAGAGGAGCTCAGGTTTTGCAATGACACTTCCAATTGCAATGTGGATATATGCTCAGTCTCTTGCCAGATCCCATCAGTCTTCACCAGAGAAAACATATCTGAGGGAAGTGTGGCAGAGAATAAAGAGGAACTCAAAGGCAAACAAGCATGGAGAAAAAGATAGAAAAATGTCTCGGGTAGAGATGAGATGGAGAAACCACAGTGAAGGGAGGTGCTACAGCCACCAAAAAAGAGCATGTCACCACAGACTGCAGAACAAGAGTCAGGCAGAAACAGACTGCAAGGGACACTTCTGAAGATGGTAGAGGTAAAGGCAAGTATATCATGTGTCTACAGTCTACCCTCCCCCTAAGACAACAGTACAGTGATGTCACAATAGCAAAAGAAATCAGTGGGTACTGATACATAGCAGGGGCTCTTTCATAACCTTAAGACATGTCATGTGACTGGGGTCCGGCAATAAAGATAAGCCTCTTAGCAACACTTCTGTTTGCTGCACCTTAGAATATTGTGGCAGTAGAACATTGGAATTTGGGGAAAATGGAACAAATAAAACCACCTGAATCATTAAATCTTGAAAAAGACCTGGCAGAGAACTGGAGGAGGTTGTAATGCTTCCAAACTTTCCTGGAAGCAAGCAGCACTGCAGAGAATCAGAGAAGGTGAAACCCTCCATGCTGCTACATGTGGTAGCAGAGGCAGGAAACACAATACGTAAAGCCTATCAGAACTAAATTAAATTCTTGATCATGCTTGGTAAACACTGAATTAACTAGGGAAGATTACTGCTCATTATGGACTCATATATAGATATTTTAAATTCAGCTGTTGCGTACCACATTGAGCAGCAATGTAGTACTGTAGTGTAAATTACAGTTTGCTCATCGTGAGACTCCAGATAAGTTAATAACAGATAATGACCCACAATTCACAAGTGGCTTACTTGGCAAGCCTCTTTGATCTCCCAGTTCAAGCACACCACATCAAACTCCAGCTATGCACAGTCAAATGTGTTAGTGGAAAAACCACTACACAGAGCACAGAACTTGATAATAAAAACAACACAACCCTGACATATTCCTGGGGTCTGTAATTAGCACTGTTAGATACTGAAGAACACCTCTGCTTTATTAGGATCATTAGTTCAATGGATAATGGCCAGAAGATAAAAATTTTCAGTGCCAACATCTTATAGGTCCCTTGAGCTAAAGACAATTAATCCTGAATTACTAAAAAACTCAAACCAAGCCAAAACAAAGCAAGAAAGAAACCTATGTGCCAGGAAACAATTAGAGAAAATAATACTATGACAAGAATGCCGAACAGTTACTCCCTTTACAAATGGGAGAGAAAGATATATTTTAAACAGAAAGTGACCGGCAGCCTGCCAAAATAACAGGTTTGGACCATGAGCATCAGACACCCTAGCCTTGCTTGTGGGTCACTCCCACAAAAGAAGTAGAAGACATCTAGACAAAAAAAAAAAACCAAGGAAGATACTGGTTCTTTCCTTTCTGAGGTTTTTCAAAATGCTATGAACAGCATTCTTGTGCAGACAGAAGTAACGTTTGCCTATCCAGTCACCAACAATGAAAAACACCAGGAGCTCCAGGCCAGGTGTCAGATCCTGCTGGCAGCCAAGCAGGAGATTGCCAAAGGAACTGTTTTA